GGCTCTTGCTGAAATGCTGGTGGGGACGGTGCGCAGTGTCCTGGCCACTCCCAGGCTGATGCAGGAGAATCACGACACAGAAAAACCCTGTCTGATCCACCCCTACATACACACACAACACATATACACAAAGGAAACAAGAAAACAGTAATAATATTCGTATTGTAATTTGTGTTATAAATAAACTTTCTGTGCCAGCCTGTGGGATAGAGGTTAATGTGGCTGGATGCCACATGGCCTATTGTGCAGTTAAAGTCCCAGACCTAGAGGCTTCTCACTTTCCCTCTCTGTCTCTTCCTGCCTAGTGTAAGCACTCTCTGGCAAATTAAAAAACACATATGTTAAAAAAAAAAAAAGTTTTCCTCTTTCTGCAGACCTTCTTTCAAATTTAACATATGCAGTTTCAAACTTCACAAGTGGTCACCGAGAAAAATGATTCCATAGCTCATAATCTATACATATATAGTTATATATTACATAGGATATTATATATTACTCATGAAAGTATATATAACATTTATAATATTTTTTTCTTTTTCTTTTTTTGAAGAGGTTTTCGCTATAGGGCGCATGCGCTCGCCAGAAAGACAGAGACAAACAGAGAGACAGAAAGCGAGAAATCACCCCCCAGGGGGGATGACCAAACCACAATCCCTTCTCCTCCATTCTCCTTTTGGGATCTTGGCATTCTCCTCTTGGGATCTTAGGCATGCACGCACGTGCCCGGTGTGAGTCTAAGCCACCGGGTTCAGGACTCGAACTGCAGTCGACTACATGGGAGTTAAGCGACATAGCCATTACACTAACTGTTGGTCCCATAACATTTATAATTTTGCTGAGGCAGAGTATGAATCTTGGACACTGGTATTCTTAGAAACATGCTTTCACTATCAAAGCGTCTTGAGCCTCCTAGTCCTCAGTGCAATGTAGCTGTTCTCTGGGCAGGCTTGTACATGGAGATTATGTACATGGATTACAATGATTAAGTGATTAGAAAAACAAAAACAAAAACTTCTTTTGATGTACAAATAAAAGGCATTCTGAAAAGTAAGCCAGCGGCTGGTGCTAGAATTAAAGTACTCCAACAGAGTGACAGTTCCTGGTCAGAAAATGCATGCTGTAAGGCTCAGACTGCAATATAGTAGTGAAAAAAATCTCATATTGTATCTTCAGAAAATATTAAGGGCCAAAATAGTGCTACATTTAATCTTCATAGCAAAGCAACAATATAAGTAGGCCAGTTCTGGGTGCAGCAGTAATTTACCATGCAGGAGGAGTTGGATCCCACACGGTGACCACAGTTCAAATCCCCAGCCTGGTCAGCCTGAAACACAACAGGCACATACAAGAATGCCTCTCTCTGGCTAGACGCCTGGAGGAAGGGGAATGAGGTATCACCAGACCCTGTAGAGGGTGCTCCTTTCTCTCTCTTTCTCTCTCTTTCTCTCTCTCTCTCTCTCATGCACTCGCTGCTCTTCTATCATGAAAAAAACATACAGAAAGCTGTAATGTAAGTAAACATAGTTATTATCCCTGTTGTGGAGGTAAAGAAACTAAGACACAAAATAAGAAACAAATCCAAGGCCACACACCCAAGATAGCTAATCCTCAATAGTTCTAAGAAATTATAACTGTGCAGAAATCAGTTTCAGTGGGTCATTTATGAGTAAATCTTTGCATTTGTTTGGATGTTTAAGACTCAGAGGGTACTTTGGACTCCTAGAGATCTTACAGCCAGAACTGCTATAGCTGTTAGAAATGGTGTTGATCAAATGTGGTTATTGGCTACTCCAACTCTTCCAGTCATTTGGAAACCTTGGAGTTGATTCCAACTTCCTCGTTACTGAGTTGGCATCACCACGTTTTCTACAGGCTCGCTGCTCCGCCTCAGCCAAGCCTCTTCCTGCCAGTGACAGCACCTCTGGCCTCATCTTCCATCCTGCCATTCCTCACTTGGTCACATCCGCCCTTTGACCCCTGGTCTTCCTCCTTCCTAATAGCCCCCTCCATAGTCCCATAACACATGGATTCTGATTTGTCATCACAGGCACCCAGTCTCCATCCTCTGTGAGTTAACACGTATAGTCAATAAGGGAGAAACAACTGGGACTAATGGCCTGGGTTCAAACCCTGGCTTTATCATGTACCAGTTCAGTTGAAGAGCAAGTTACTGACCCAGCACAGATGGCAGCTTACTCAATTGCAGTGCTGAAAGCCACATGATCTAGTGTGGATTCAGATTCCCAGGAGGGCCTGAAAAACACATCAGGTGTGCATACAACCAAGACCCTGACAAGCTAGAACACTAGAAAAGGGTCACGGTGTGAAGAGACCCTTTAGGTGTATTCTCTCTCTCTCTCTCTCTCTCATGCACACACACACTTTGTCTCACAGGTATTTTTTTTTTTCTTTTCTTTTTTAGTTTTTACTACAGGGTACATGCACTTGTGTCCCACATTTAGGGGTGGGGAGGGGAGTGAGTATCACTCCCCAAGGAAGATGGCCACGATGTAATTCCTTCTCCTCCATCCTCCTCTCAGGATCTTAGGTGCACCATGCATGCAATTGAGCGAGCCCATCTTGGGCACGCATGCACACGCACCCGGCGTGAGTTCAAGCCACCGGGTCTGGGATGCAAATCGCAGTCGACTACATGGGAGTCCAGCTACATAGCCATTATGCTAACTGCTGGTCCCCTTAATTTTGACAGTTTACCTCACCCTTTGGTCTTATTTTCCCTCACTGCAAAAGAGGGCTAATGAAAGCACCTACTATATGGGATTTTTGCAGGGATTAATGACTAGATAAAAGTAAGGAACATAAAATGGTGCCTGGCATTTACTACTTGCTCAATAAACACCCACCATTCTTCTTCTTCTTCTTCTTCTTCAGAAAAATTTAGAAATTCACTCTAGAGATCCATTCTCGCACTAAACCATCTGGGTTCAAATATCGTGAATTAAGCTCTTCTGAACATCAGTTAACCCAGGTGTGCATGTTGGCAATAATAATGAAGCAATAGAAGTCATCTCATCCTTGACATCATTCTCAGTGTATGCATACGTGTCCAAATTCTTAATCTGCAATCCTCATGCTATTCCTATCTCATCTACTCCCATCTCGAACCTGCAGCCTTTTCCCTCAGCTGAGACATGGAAAGCCCAATCCCTCATCTCAACAGCCAGGACTGTTGTCACAGGCCTCAGTAATCACCAGCTGTGATTTGAAACTAGGGAGATCTTCATAAAGCTACTATCAATATTAATAGAAGACAGAATGTATCTCCATTCTTACCACTCCAGCTCCATCAGCAGATACATTCACAGACATTATAACAGGTTAACTGTGAGAACATGTTACTGTCAAATCTTGAAATTTAATTCTAAGGCATCACTCCAAAATATGAATCTGGCAAATACTAAATTTTTACAGAGCACTCTCTTCCTAAGCTCACTGTATCTATTGAATTAATCTCCCCATCCTACCACAATGCCTTGTAACTACAAGAGAGACTAAGATGTGTTCTAGTTAGTGAATACTGGTGATGTCTGAATAAGGACAGGAATGTCTGACTTTAATTTACTTCCTGGATACAGGGCAAGTAAAGGTCTCAGGATGGGTAGATGAACTTCTTTCAGTTTCAGATTAGTCTATTCCTATTTAACTGGCTTCTGGTCATTCCTCACTTACAAGACACAGAAACAACTATGATTGCTTAAACAAGACTCACTGGCAGAAGGCCCATACATTTATGCCTTCTCATTTTAAGAAACAAAGCAAGATAGATTCCCTTGAAATTAGAATTTTTTAAGTTTTTTTCTCTTCTCTTTTTTCTTTCTTTTTCTACCTTTTTTTTTTAAAAAAAAAAAACAATTATTCTTTTCCCTCGTGGCTAGGTATAACAGTGATATTTGCAGTAGACTAGAAGCTGTTAAAAGAGCACAACTTATATTTGGCTTGTAGGGCAAACTGTGCTTTGTAGAAATGCATCCTGAAGCTAAAAAGGAGTAAAGAGAAACTCAGCAAAAATTATGTAGAAATGTGTTTCTGAATAAGCCACAACACTGTTTTTGTGATCAATAGCAAAACAAGGCTCAATGGCCGCCCGTGAGTCATTGGAAAACAGCCCTGAGTGTTTGCCATATGTCTGAAGTTTACTTGTGCCCAGTGGCACTGCACTAGGGGTTCTAATTTTTGGCTGACAGCTTCTTAATCAGGTTTTTGCAACATCTCTCAGATATGTTTAAGAGACAATAGTTGAATTATAGGATTTCCAATAGCTATGCTGCTTAATTAAGCAAATCATCATTCTGTAAAAAGTAGCATACCTTCTTGGTTGACGCATCAATAATTCAGAACCCTTACTCTCTATGAAATATCTTTTCAGATAATTAACTAATGACTAAGTCCAAAGGTATTTAAAAAAAATTGGGGTAATATTCCTGAAATAAAATAACTGCTTAAAATTTCAGGCTTTCTAGAATGTCAAAGGTATAATTCAGTCAAATAATAAACTCCCAATGATATTCTCAATTTTCTCTCAGAAATAAGAACTATATTTATTGTAATAGAAAAATTATTCACAAAAATAGCTGGAGTCATGTGAAAATTATCTCAATATATACTAAGTAAAAAAATCAGGATATAAACTATTCTATAAAGTTTAAAAATGGGAGTAGATGAATCAAAATGCTAACGCTATTCTGTCAAACCATCTTTCAAAAGAATCAGTGAAAAACTGTGTGAGGTGTGTGACTATGTTTGTATGTGTATATATAAATACTCATATATATATATATATATAGCAAGATGTTAACAATTAGTGAATCTAGGTAATGAATCTATAAATGAGTGATCATTATTACATTTTTATAACTTTTAAAATATTTGAAATTTTTCTAATTAAAATAAGTAATGCATAAAACATAGTAAAAAAAAATCCACAGTGGATATTTACAGTGGTGAAATTTATGGTGGTTTAATTCTGCCCTTATTTCTTTCAACACTTATAATTTTCCTATAATAAATATGCATCGTTAAACACAGATTTTTAAAGGTAAAGTTTTCTCTTCAGTAGCCATTAACAATTACACTTGATTTTCTCATTAACAACTCGATGTGCTGCTTCGATTCAATTTTTTCAAGGCTGACTCTGTGACAGACAAAGCAACACTTATCTAAGAAACTGAGTGTAACAGCTTTTAGGCAGTCACTCTTTTCTTGCATTACCTTATTTTCCTGCACAGAAGTAGAGCACAGTAAATGAGGATAAATGGTCTCTTTAAGCACTCCTCCATCAGCAGGGTATATGCTTTTTGAAAGCCCACTGCATGGCAAAAATAAAAAGCAAAGTTTAGAACTTTGGGGTTCTTTATTCATTTTTCCCCCCGCCCTCTTTCAAAAGCCGGATGGTACCATTCAAGTTTCTAAACTCTAGTTAGAAATTGTTGGGTTAATAATTACAAGTGACTTTTTGAAAACCCAGCACCAGCTGTACAAGTTATACATGGTTAATCTCATTCCTTCATCCCCTGCTGTTTTGTACAAAGGCTGAAGCCTACCAAGCCCAGAGTAAATCTTCTAGTGCCAAAGTTGTTTTGTTCTGGTTTTTGATCATGGGCAGCATGCAGGGATTTTTCCATAATAAACCTCCCAAAGTTCATTTTCTACCTGAATGTTTTGTATGCCGCTCCCATCTGAGCCCACCTGTTCAGCAGCTGATAGATATAACTGTGACCATCTTCTGTCCAAATGAGGATTCTGTGAGCAGCAAGCACCTCTCCACCCGCAAAAAACTGCCCGTTTCTACTAACTTCAGTTAGCAGAAGGGAAAAATCACAATAATCATAAACCTAAAATAAAGAAACCACAATAACCATCAATCTAAAATACAAAGTGTTGATTCACTTTAACAAAACCTTACAATCTCATTGGCCCATGAGATAAATTAGGTTTAGCAAGATAAACTAATAATGCAACAACATATTAAGTATTAAAAACTGGCATTATACTCATGTACCAAGATCATATTTGAAAATATTTAGCCTAAGGTAGATTTCACTGCATAAAGTTTATCTGGTTGTACCATTCCAGAATATGCACATTAAAACTAGAGACCAAAAGTCTTGAAATTTCTAAATAATTGCATTCTTCCCATATGCACCGTCCAAGTTTAGCATTTTTTATTTTATTATTATATACAGAAGTTTATACAGCAGAAATCCTTTGTCAGGCATATACTTTTAAATCTTGGTTCAAAAATATATTTTAGCCATACAAGTAAGATAACATAGTTTCATTAACTGAGCCAGTTGCATGAAACATTAAAGAAAAATAAAATGATGTCAAATAATAGCAACCTAGCTTATGTTTCTTCTTAAAGACATCAGTGAATATATTCCCAAGAAAAGAATATATATTTCCTAGATACCAATGCAGAGACAAAGCAGAAAAAGGAAAAAAAAAATCTAAAAATAACATCAATCTATGCAGGTAAGTATTAGCTTTTTAATTCTAACGTATAGCCACCAACTATTTTTTTTTTTGAGAGGTTTTCGCTATAGGGCGCGTGTGCTCGCCAGACAGACAGAGAGAGACATAGAGACAGAAAGCGAGAAATCACCCCCCAGGGGGGATGGTCATACCACAATCCCTTCTCCTTCATTCTCCTCTCGGGATCTTGGGCACACATGCACATGCGCCCGGCGTGAGTTTTAAGCCACCGGGTCCAGGACGTGAACCGCGGTCGACTACGTGGGAGTCCAGCAACATAGCCATTACGCTAACTGCTGGTTCCCTAGCCACCAACTTTAAGAAATAATTTAGAGATAAACGCTCACTATTATTTTGGCATGCTATTAATATGATTAGATACTAAACATATCATCTCTTAGGAAGCAAAACAGCCACATTCAGGGAATTAAAGTTGATTTTAGTCATAAAAGACAAGTCACTCCATATACTTTGGTAATACTATTATGAAGTGTTTGCGTAACATATACAAATTTTGGGGTTGGCAGGTGGCGCAGTGATTGAGGTGCTGGACTCCCACATGACCAACCACGGTTCGAGTCCCAGACGTGGCAGCTTGCTTTCTCACTTTCCCTTTCTCTCTCTCTATGGTCAAATTGAGAATAATAATAATAACAAATAAAATAAAATAAATAATTCTTAAAAATACATATGTTATATGTACGTACTTTATATATATTTCTGTGTGTGTATGTGTATTTTTAAATGAGGTCTCATGTTGGGATCTTCCTGCCTCAGTTTTCCAAGCAGCTGGAATTACCAGTGGCAGCACTGTGTCCAACTTTTAGAGTGGGTTGGGAATCCAGCCTGGGCCTTCCATGTGGCCTCTGTCTGCCAAGTAATAATGTCAGCCGACATGTGCTAAAATGGCTGGGCTTGTATTACATTTAAGTTATGTTCTTACAATTGCTGCACTGAAAAAAAAAATTACTTTTGTACAACACCGGTATCTATTCTGTTATTTTATAATACCTTCCAACATTTAGAAAACACCACCAAAAGAAGTCTCTCTGTATATGTGCAGAATCGTATTGTCTGGCAGTTCATGGAGTTGAGAAACTTGGATTCTTTTTCGTAGACATCTTGCTTTTCCTTCAAAAGGAAAGAAAACACTTTAGAACTAGTTCCGCTTAATTTATATACTACCATGAGAAAATCTGCTCCCCCTACACCTGAGGTAAATCGTAGTTTTATAGGGTACTCAAGATTCCTTTTGAATGTTTTGAACTGAGAAATTATTTTGCAAAAAAAGGTGTAAGCAGGAAATCCACTTGGATTCTAGGATTCATTATGTATAGTCATTCAACAAACATTATGTAGGGAATTATGCTGGGTGCTAAGAATGTAAACATGAGTTACTGACTCATACAAGGCAGAAAGACTACATAAAATATGTGACATAAGGATTTCTTTAAAAATTCTTCAGTATCTTAATTGTTACAATAAAGGGGGAAAAAAAACAAAACAAACCAAAACCAAAACAAAACAAAACAAAAAACAACTAATAAAGTGCTTCGAAAAGACCAAAGAGTACCCAACACAACACATATAATACTATGCTCTCGGGACTAGCAGATGGTGTAGCAGTTATGTGCTGGACTCCCATATGGCTGATCGCGGTTTGAATCCCAGACTCAACAACTTGAAACTCACATCAGGTGCATGTGTGCCCTAAATCCCAAGAGGACAATGGAAGAGAAGGGATTGTGGCATGACCATTTCAGCATGGCCATCCCTCCAGGGAGTGATTTCTCACTTTCTATCTCTCTGGCAAGCACATGTGCTCTCTCTCTCTAAAAAAAGGGAAAAGATAAAACAGAAAACTATGCTCTCTGTAAGTTTCTGATAGGGCTAGGTGTGCATTCTTTTTTTTTTTTTTTTTTTAGATTTTTGCCATAGGGCACATATATTTGCCAGAGAGAGAGAGAGAGAGACAAAGAGAGAAGGAAAGTGAGAAACAATTCCCCCTCTCCTAAGGGGGATAGCCACGCCACATTCCCTTCTCCATTTTCCTCTCAGGATTTTGGGCATACATGCACATGTGCCTGGCATATTCTTCAGGCCACCAGGTCTGGGACTTGAACAGTGGAGTTGACCATATTGGATCCAGGGCCTTAAGCACCACACCACCTGCTGTCCCCTGGGTATGCATTCTTTTTTTTTTTTTTTGAGAGGTTTTTGCTATAGGGCGTGTGCGCTCACCAGACAGACAGAGAGAGACAGAGAGACAGAAAGCGAGAAATCATCCCCCAGGGGGGATGGCCACGCCGCAATCCCTTCTCCTCTGTTCTCCTCTTGGGATCTTGGGCACGCACGCAAACGCGCCCGGCGAGTTTTACGCCACTGTGTCCAGGACGCAAACCGCAGTCGACTACATGGGAGTCCAGCGACATAGCCATTATGCTAACTGCTGATCCCCCCTGGGTATGCATTCTTGAGCTCAGCATGCCAACACAATGCCTAGGCTTCCTCAACCAAGCCTCAACCAAGATATTCCTAGAGAGATAGAGTTTCTTAAGGTAAATAATTTTATCACCAACACAAATACTATGGCTGTTCTTTAGTCCATCAACTCATCTTGTAACCTGATGCTAGCTGGCAGGTAAAAATACCAACTCCAGGGACCAGGAGTTGACGTAATGGTCATGTCGCTGGACTCCCATGTGGTCGACCATGCTTTGAGTCCTGAACCTGGTGGCTTAAACTCACACCGGGCGTGTGTGTGTGCATGCCCAAGATCCCAAGAGAAGAATGGAGGAGAAGGGATTGTGGTGTGGCCATCCCCCCTGGGGGGGTGATTTCTCGCTTTCTGTCTCTCTGTCTCTCTCTTTCTGGTAAGCACACATGCCCTATAGCAAAAATCTCTCCAAAAAAAGATAAATAAATAAAAAGAAAGATATATATATATATATACCAACTCCAATGAGATGTGATACTCAGTTGTTCGAAGTCACTCCCCAGCCATTCTTCACACACACACACACACACACACACAGAAAAACATCTTGAGTGTTAGAAACAGAGATATACTGGCTATGATTTTTTAAATTAAAAATGTTATATGTGGGAGGGCAGCTCTGTAGCCTAGTCGTTCAGGAAGCCAGATCTCACATGGTCAGTCATGGTTTGAATCTCAGCCCTGGTGGCTTGAAAAACACACCATCACACGTGCACATGTGCCAAAAATTCCAACAGGACGGAGAAATGGAGGAGATGGAATTGTGGCATAACCAGGCCCAAGCGGGAAACACTTTCTCCTTCTTCCTCTCTCTCCGGTAAGCACATACTCTCTGACAATGAAAAAAATGTAATGGGTGTGTGTGTGTGTGTTTATGTGCAAGTAAAAATACTTGTATATGCAGGAAAAAAGATTGGAAGGATACAATCCAGCTGTACCAATGTCCACTCCTAGGAAAATGGAGAGGGGAAGATAAATGGAGATAAAACTTGTACACTGCTATATTATTTGAATTTTTTAAAGAATTATTTAATTGTACTTCTTTTTATTATTACTATTATTTTTAACTTACTATAAGGCACATGAGCTCACCACAGAGAGAGCGAGGAGAAAGTGAGAAAGCAAGCTGCCAGGTCTTGGACTCGTGCCATGGTTGTCCATGTGGGAAACCAGCGCCTTAACCACCATGCCACCTGCTGGCCCCCATCATTGAACTTTTAACAATGAACATGTAATAGCCTTAGAATTTTAAAACTTCAAAGAGTATGTTTGAAATTGGAGGGAAAAAAATGTCATTTCCAAGCCAACCTGAATGCTGTTGATAGACGAGGAGAGATCCCACACTTTGAGCTCACCAGCTACTGTTACCGCCAAGAGAGAATCTTCTGTAAAAAGAACAAAGGTCACATATCAGCCGGCTGGTGCTCTCACTGGCTACTGCAAAAATCACTTCAAGGCCATTTAAGGATTCTGTAAGGCAGTGAAGGTGGACAATATTGCACTTTCTTTTATTTTTTTCTCTTAATAAAAAAACATCTTACATCATGTTTCAAACTGTTTTAAAATTTCAAAGTGATCCCTAGGTATAAGTAGAGCACCACTCTAAGCAGTACCACACTGCAAGTCATCATGTTGGTAACACTAGACCCTCCTATTTTAGCACCAAGTGGGGGACCACTTCCACTTTCCCGCATAGACATTCATTTTTTAAGCCAAATTCCTCTCGTTACTGCATCTAGAAGATACAGCAGGGTGCAAGTTCCTAGAGTCCTCCAAATTCGCAACACAAACCTGTTTGTCACACATAAAATATACCAAGCAGATCTGTGTCATGGAAACACAGATTCTCCTCTGATCATCTGATCTTAACCTCTTGTTGACATTCCAGTGACTGGACCACTGAGTGTATTCAGCATTTTCTGATCTGGCTTACAGGACTATGTTCATTAACAGGTAAACATAAAGGAGCATTCTGAACACTTGCAATGATTTAACACGGAATTCAAAAGCAGGTATGTTCATGTTCAATCTCTCGGTGTTAGAGTTGCCCAACTATTACCTTGAATTCTCACGGAGTGAACAATGCACATGCAGTTGACCCAGTCGGGAGACTGGGATGATGTGAAAGAGTGGACAATAGCCAGAGTTTTGGCATCAATTATGAGGACATCTCGATACTCGCCACAACACAGAAGCCAGCCTTCTCCTGTCATCCGGAATGAGCAGTGGTAATACTGTGTAAATGAAATTCAAAGCAAATATTTAATGGTCACTAACAATTAATACAATTTTGGTGGTGTTGAAGATGTGTAAGTTTTACTTTTAGCATCTTTCTGTTCAATTAAGGTACTGAAATGAATAGCACTTAACATTTCTTTCTGTTCTATTATGCCACATTCCCAAAGCGTTGGTTTTGCACTTTGGTCTCACTTTTATTTCATCATTTTTCTTTTCTAGAGAAAGGAAGATCTTTTGGAAAAATAGAAGTCCTACTCCACATCATGAAAAGCTCATGAGTATATTATTTCTGGAGCACTATTTAGAGTTAAACAATAACAAAACCCATTTCTTCCCTTAACAATATTGCTACATGTTATGAAGAAATAAAGGTGTTTGCAAAGCACTTGAGGAATTCAAATAATTCAAACTGAAGAATTATGCAACTAAGTTCTAGAAGTCACTGTTATTCAAGATCAAGTAATATATTCTACAACTTAGCATGCTCTCTCACTGGGCAGCATCTCAGTTCCAAAAGAATAGGAAAGCATTTGTGAATGTTACGATGTAAGTCATCCACACTGCAAGCAATGAGTGAAATATTTAAAATGCTGCCAGCAATGCTGGAATCATGCAGCTGCCTGGCATTGTTCAGAGTCCATGTACCAAAAATCAACACACGCTTTAAATCTCGGAAAGTTAAGTATCAAGGTTATGGCTATGCCTCTTGCTCTCTTTTTTATAAACAACAAATTTAGTAATTAAAACCTTATTCATCAAAACATAGGTTCAAAGTGGAAATGGGAATACTTTCACACTTTAAAAATTAGCACATTGTTCAGATGAGATTTTTGTGTGTAGAGGTGTGTGTGTTTTGTGTATCACTAAGGATAAATATAGAAATTGTCTTTTAAATGTACCTGCTAGAAAAATAAAGAAATAACCAGGGGGGAGGGAAGCTAGTTGAGTAACACCTTTGGGGGAAAATGATGCCAAAGTAGCAGGTCATCACTTATGATCATCTGCCCTCGTGACAAAATAAAAATTTGAGAAAAGAATATTCTCCAAAGATATTTCTTTATACATGTGATAACAAATGCTCTAAGTGAGATGCAGAAGTCCAGAAATGCTTGGAAGGAGGTGAACATACTTACACAGATTGCAGTGTGCCTGTATGGAAGGGTGGCCTTCTCCACGCACTGCCCATTGGTGACATTCCAAACACACATCTCCCTAGCAGAGATAACTTTGTATTATTCTCTGTCGTTTCCACTCAATTGGCCGGAATAATTTTTGTGTCACCAAATTTTTCTTTAGTGCTGCACTTAAGTGCAGCCTGATCGTTTATGTGGCTTTTTGTTACAGATTACTGGGCAAGAAAATGTTGTGGTCATTAGAAAGGGATGACATACTGTATCTGTATCTTTTTGTTTGGGTAATTATACCCCACTGCCAGCCTGCAAACCTGACTTGAGGGCCAACCTGGCCTACAACGAATTGTGGGGATACAGTTATCATGACCTGTTAGAGTAACAGTCCAACGATCTTTTCATGGAAACTGCATTGTCTTGGAAATGGTTTATTTCACTGAACTTAAACTACATATTCTGAAAAAGCACAACGCATCAAGTGCGACATCTTTTGGAGCTGAGCTATCACTTTTGTGAAAACAAACAGTGCCACCCAGAGGCCACATTTGGTCTATCATGAATACAACTTAATTCTTTGCCCCAATTGGAAATCCTGAAATTCTCTTTGACATTTAATATTTAGAGAACTCCTGGAAAAAGTTACTTAGGTACATATTTGTTACTAAAGCAGAGCCAGAGTGATACAATACATTCAGTGTAGGGGAGTTTAAATCTATATGATCTCTGCTCCCAAAAACAAGAATTGCTGTTACAGAATAGTTGGGTACTATTCAGTTTTGACAATTAAGGAAAAGGAAAATAGTCCACAAAAATTGTATAAACATTAAAGGAAATACTACTATTAAGAAGTAAAAGATATAGACTAAAATGTTAAGTTATACACACACACACACACACACACACACACACGCAATGTATGTTTATGTATACACACACACAGTGATTCACAGTTTTTTTGTTTCTCTAACCAAACCCTGGAATTCAATCTTCTAAATCAGTGGTTCTTATACTGGGGTGATTTTGCTCCCTTTTTCCCACTAACCCTTACCTCCCACAGGCAGTTGGCAATATTTTTGTTTATCCCAACTAGGAACACACTACTGGCATCTAGTGGGGAGAGACCGGGGATGCGGTTAAACACGCTAGAACACATAGGACTGTCCCCTCCCAACAAAGAATCATCCAGTCAAAAATGCCCTGAGTACTAAGGTTCAGAAACCATGTTCTAGACATAGAAATGAAAGATTCATAGTTTTGTTTCCCTCCCTTTATTCCAAAAAGGATTTGCAATAACCTGAAAAGGCATGTCATTCTATAAAACAAGGAGGGAAACAATTGTGTTGTGTGTGTACTGAAAAATAAGAGTGAGAGAAGGTAGAAAATTAAATAAAGGTAAAAACTATTAATAATACTTCTAGAAGGTAAATGAATATATCTCAAAGGTAAAGAAATTGAGCCGTAAGCAACCAACGAAATTAACAAAATTTTACCTTTACAAGGGATCTGAGTTTGTCATCATGTTTTTTTATCTCTAGCTGTGTATCACTAACTATCTATGACTATTTTAAAAATTACCCTCAGACAATCTAACTCCATGGCTCTTGGTTGGGGTCCTAGCATGTGTGATTTTAAAAAGCTACTGGTCAGCTAACCTGATATTAAGTGGGTTTATCACTAAATCAAAGCTGGCTACACATCAGAATTATTAGGGAGCTTCCTAAGAATACAAATGACTAGAATTCAATCCAGACATGGAGCCAGGATAATTAAATTGTATTTCTAAGACTGGAAATAGGGAATTAGAAGTTCCCTCAATGATACTGTTTTTAAACTATCTAGGATTCTAATCATTGCCATGTGTGTGTACCTATTATCTTATTTTATGCTTCAAATCTGAGAAAAAATTAATAATTAAACAGCAAAAATTGTATCTTTGCCTATTAATTCTACTGAAGAAAAGAAAATAAATTTGTGGTGTACCAAAAATAGTATTGGCATTTTAGCTGGAACTGTTCAAGTTAATCTAATGATTAAAATGCATGATCTTTTTTTCTTTTCTTTTTTTTTTTTTAAGAGAGTGTTTGTTTGTTTGCTATAGGGCACTTGTGCTCACTGGAGAGACAGAGACAGAACTGGAGAAATAAGCCCCTGGAGGGATGGCCACACTGCAATCCCTTCCCCTCAATTTTCCTCTCAGGATTTTGGGCAAGCATGCAAACGTGTGTAGCGTGAGTTTTAAGCCACCTGGTCCAAAACTCGAACTGCAGTTGACTATGTGGCAGTCCAGCAACATAACTATTACACAAGCCGCTGGTCCCTTTTTTGGAGAGATTTTTGCTATAGGGCACCTGCACTTGGCAGAGACAGAGAAACAGAAAGCAAGAAATCAACCCTCAGGCACCATGGCCACATCTCAATCCCTTCTCCTCCATTCTCCTCTTGGAATTCTGGGCACACACGCATCCGTGCCCGGCATGAGTTTTAAGCCTACAGATCTGGGACACAAAGCGCAGTCAACTACATGGGAGTCCAGTGACAGCCATCATACCACCTGCTGGCCCTGCATACTCTTTTCATTTTAAAATATTGTTCCCCAAATTTGTAATAGATTAAATTATCTTTAATTATAAAAAAAATTAAATTTAACAAGAAAAACACTGCAGAAAGTATCTGTAATATATAAAGTCAAAAACCGTAAAATTCTCACTACAAAGTTTTTTAGACACTGAGGTTTTTGTCTTATCCACCTTTACTTGTCCACCTCAGCACCTTTAAAAAAATTAATTGAATTGACACATAAAAGGGTACCTACAAAAGTATATAGAAAATGAAATGAATGTATTAGTTTATTCTGGTGTAAAAAAAATTTAAACCCACGCACAGTTCTTCTTAACATTAATTTTCCATAGCATTTTACAGAGCCCCAGTACACCTGTCACCATTCTTTCATACACCTTCACCTATCAGAAAGAGAATATTTTCTCTTAGCTCCATCCGTATTTTTCATATTTTTGTTCTTATAACATTACTACTGCTTTGCTCACATTTTAATGGAGCATCTGGAGGGAGAGGAGAGAAATATGAACACTTGGGTTTCCATCTTGAATTGGAAGTCTATCACATTCTTCTAACCTTCTTTTCCCCTGTCTTTTGGGTGGTTCTTTAGCAGTCTTAGGCTTTTCTCTCGATCTGCCTGCTTTTTTTTTTTTTTTTTTTGAGAGATTTTCACTGTAGGGTGCGTGCGCTCGCCAGACAGACAGAGAGAGACATGGAGACAGAAAGCGAGAAATCACCCCCCAGGGGGGATGGTCATGCCGCAATCCCTTCTCCTCCATTCTCCTCTTGGGATCTTGGGCATGCACGCACACACGCCCGGCGTGAGTTTTTTAAGCCACCGGGTCCGGGACATGAACCGCGGTCGACTACGTGGGAGTACAGTGACATAGCCATTACGCTAACTGCTGGTTCCCATGATCTGCCTGCTTTTAAAGTGTTGGTTTTCCTTACATTTTTGTCTCGAACTATCTTACATTCTCACATTTTACATTCTACCTGTGTAAGTTATCCCCCCTCGGCTTTAGCTATCATCATTAAGCTATTGGATGCCCAGACTTCTTCATATGAACCCCATCTTTCCAAATGCAACAAGGTGTTAGATGTGTCCAGTTGGATGACTTGTAGGCATTCACTCGTCTTGCGTTTAAAATGAAACCCCGCATCCTCCCTCTTTGGTTCCCTATCTCTATAAATGATATCATCACAAATAAGTTTCCCAAGTTATTCTTAACCCACACTTTCTCTCACTGACCAAAATAAAGTATTTGCTACTACACATATGAGATTACAAGAAGTTTGTGTAAAGATGGAATGAAAACAAAGTTTATTTTGATACAAAATAAATTTTGTAATCCATGTATAGTTTTTCATACTATGGATTTTCCATGAATTTTATGAAACCCCCTCGTATGTTCCTTGGACAAGCAGTTATCAGCATTATCTAGGAACATGTTAGAAACGCCAGTTCTTGGACTCTAGCCCAGACTTATGGAATTGTAGCTCTTCTCTGGATTAAGCAACTGTTTACATTTCAAAAGTGGAAGTTATACAGAGCCAGCAGATGGTATAGCAATTATGTCACTGGAGTTTCACACAGACGACCCTTGTTTGAGTCCTGGACCCAGTGGTTTAAAAATCATGCTGAGCATGCATGTGTGCATGCCCAAGATCCCAGGAAGAGAAGGAAGGAGAACGGATTTTGGCATGGCCATCCCCCTAGGGGGTGATTTCTCACTTTCCTTTTCACTGTCTCTGTCTCTCTCTCTCTGGTGAGTGCATGCACCCTAATGCAAAAACTTCTAAAAATAAATAAATAAATAAATTGGAAGTCATATACCTATTTCTATTATTTTTATCTTTTGTCTCTTCTTTTAGTAGCACATATGGCTTAAAGGCTAAAGCTAACATCAACTTACTTCTCAAACACTAGACCATGTGGACTATGACACTACGTCATATGCTACTGTTGACTAGGGTTGTACGTATGTGTGTGTAGGAGGGTGGTAGGTGGGTGTTTATAAACATTACGCATTATAGTCTGTGTTTATGTACATTCCCTAAAAACTTCACTGGTCTTTGTTTGACATCCCTTCTTCCACCTCCTACCTTCCTTATGAAAATCATTGTTCTTGTTGAGGAACATAATTTAAAAAATTCATTACTTATAGAGGAGATGCTGGTAGTAAGCACTCTCAGTATGTATTATCTTAAACTCTATTATTTTGCTCTAATTTATGAAGATACTTTTGTTGGATATATAATTCTAAGTTGGCAGATATTTTTCTCTACTTTTTGAACTTACTTCACTGCTCTCTGGTCGTCATTTTACTGTTGAGGAGTCAGCTCTGTTTAATTAATGTTCTTTGTAAATAATCGACTTTTTCTCACTGTCATCTACTTTCAGGGTCTTCTCTTTTCCCTTGGCCTTCTGTTGTTTCAATATCTGGTCTCCAGGAGTTTTCTTCTTTTCATCATCCTTGAGCTAAATGGGATATCTGATCTGGATTTATGTCTATCAGTCATAGAATTATTCCAAAAATCCATGGGAACAGCCACGAAGCAACCCTGGGAACTTGGAGACAGAAATGCTAAGCCTCCAGCCACTTCCAGGGACTTCTCCAAGTTAAACGTGCACTGGTGTTTGGGGAATAATGGGGCAAGCCTTGTAAGTATAATCACTTCAAATGGATTCTATTAGGGTCTGTTTGCTAAGTATACAATAAACTGACGTATAGGTAATATTAAGAAGTAACTTAAAGATGCAGGCTAAGTTTGGGGGGACCCCAAAAGATCAGAGTTACAGAAAATTCAAATCAGTTTGGCAAAGGAAAATGGCTACTCAAACCAAAAAAAAAAAAAAAAACCAAACAAACAGATTTTCGTAATCATATTTGCAAGGCTCACACAGCTAACTTCATCTGTCATCAAGAACACATCCATTGGGACCAGCAGTTAGCGTAATGGCTATGTCACTGGACTCCCACGTAGTCGACTGCGGTTCGAGTCCCGGACCCAGTGGCTTAAACTCACGCCGGGCGCGTGTGCGTGCGTGCCCAAGATCCCAAGAGGAGAATGGAGGAGAAGGGATTGCGGTGTGGCCATCCCCCCTGGGGGGTGATTTCCTGCTTTCTATCTCTCTGTCTCTCTCTGTCTGTCTGGCGAGCGCATGCGCCCTATAGCAAAAACCTCTCCAAAAAAAAAGAACACATCCATTGGGACCAGCAGTTGGCACAATGGCTATGTCACTGGACTCCCATGTGGTCAACTGCAGTTCGAGTCCTGGACCTGGTGGCTTATACTCAGGCTGGGCACGTGTGCATGCGTGCCCAAGATCTTGAAAGGAGAATGAAGGAGAAGGGATTGTGGCGTGGCCATCCCCCTGGTAGGATGATTTCTCACTTTCTGTCTCTCTCTCTCTCTCTTTCCAGTGAGTGCACACACCCTATAGCAAAAACCTCTCAAAAAAAGATATTTGAGTAGTCCCTCAAAAAGTTCACCGTCTGGACCCAGCAGATGGTATAATGGTTATGTTGCTGGACTCCAACATGGCTGACTACAGTTCAAGTCCCTGACCCAGAGGCTTGGAACTTGTACCGGGCACATGTGTGTGTGTGCACCCAAAATCCCAAGAGGAAAATGGATGAAAAGGGATTGAGGTGTGGCCATTCCTTCTGGGGGTGACTTCTCACTTTTTGTCTCTCTCTGTCTCTCTAGTGAGCACATGCACCCTATAGCAAAAATCTCTCTAAATAAATAAATAAATAAATAAATAAATAAATAAAACACCATCCCCTAAATCCTTTAGAATGGGAATAAATACCTCACAGATATAGCAGGTTTTATGACAGCCCTGATGTGTGAAAGCTATGGGCAAATGTTTAAAAAAAATTTTGCTAGGATACTTCACTTTAAATTTATCCAAAGTTCAATCTCTCTAAGTGTAACAAGTATCATGTTACTGTATTCACTATGAGAATAGGGTCCTCTTTTGATTTTTTATTCTACTAGCCATTTTGTTCACCTATTCTGCTTATACCAGTGAGACACTTGATTCTTCATTATCCTTTTAGTTCTCGGAATTCAGATGCGTATAATTCCTCTTTGGGTTAAAATCAAAAGAGGAGGTGCTCTTGTTTCAGCACGCAACCCAATCCCTCATTCACAAGTGCATGCGGAATCCACTCAACATTCCTCAGTGTGTTTTCACAAATAGCTGGTCAGCACAGTCAGTTTATGGTAACTCTCCCCTCAGGGGGGCTCTGCCTATAGCAAAGTCTTGCTTCAATGAAGCCTGCACCCAAATCATTGTCTATGTTCCCTTCCTTTCTACCGCCTCTCATTCTTCTCAAAACTGAGTTTTCCCTTCTCTTAGTTTCATAATGGCATTGACAGGGGCTCAAAATGAAGATGGTACCTATTGTTTTGGAAAACTATGAAAGCTTGAATGTGTTTGTTTTAGAACTCAGACTTACTCCATGAAAAAGCAGAGAGCAACCAGACCTCCATTTTTTTTTTTTCTCAGAGAGATTTTTGTTTCAGGGTGTATACACTTGTCAGAGAGACAGAAAGCAATAAATCATACCCCAGGAGGGATGGCCACACCGCAATCCCTTCTCCATTCTCCTCTCAGGATTTTGGGCACAAACACACACATGTGCCTGGCGTGAGATTTTAGCTTCTGGGTCCAAAACTAGAACCATGGTTGACTACATGGGAGTTCAATGACGTAACTGTTACACCATCTGCTGGTCCCCACACCTCCATTTTTAATTGTTACTTTTTTTCACATAAGGAAAAGTACCACAGGTCTAATCTGGTCTTTGCTTGGTCCCAATCCATCAAAGGAGCATGAGATTGGGAATCACAGTACTGACTACATTCAATGGGACCATTACACTACATACTTGATCATTTAAGACCTAGTTTTGTATACAAAAAAAGAAACATGTTGATCAGGAAGGTACTGTTTGGCCCTAAAATTGTACATTAGCACACTCATTACAACGGGAAGGGAACGTAGAGACAAAGCTTCACACATGTTACCTACCCGTTTTCAGCAGCACTAACAACATAAGGCTGTTTCGAGAAGTCCCTAGCTCTTGCCAAACACGTTACTGAAGCCGAGTGACCAAACAGGAGTTCTTTAGCAGAAATCTGAAAACGAAATTAGTAAGGTTTTAAACAACTGCAAACTGGAGAACAGAAACATCACACTACAGAGGATTCATAATTCTGAGTAGGAAATCCTGTTATATTGTGTTTTTGCTGTCAATAAGTCTCAGGAACAGGAAAATATCAAAATCCACAGAATAGTAAACTTCTAGGTGAAGGGACTGTGTTGTACACATTTTTTGTTGTTGTTTTGGTTTGGTATCCATCACGAAACCTTGATGACTGCCAGACCTGTTTTACAGCAGCTAGGTTTTGAATACAAACAAGTCAGTGTTGCTTCTTGTTATGCACAAAATGTCCTTCCAGTGATGGTAGCCTATTAATGTGCAGATGTCAGAACTTAAAATGAGTTCATAAAATAACACAAGAAAAAATAAAAATACTGCCCTTTTTGTAACTATGATTATGCTTTATTTGGTGGGAGAAATACAAATTAGTATAGCCATTTTGGAAAACAGTAGGAAATTTCTGCAAAAATTAAAAATAGGGGGCCAGTAATCGCTACGTCACTGGACTCCCATGTAGTCAACCACTGTTCGAGTCCCAGACCCAGTTGCTTAAACTCATTCCGGGTGTGTGTATATGTGTGCCCAAGATCCTGAGAGGAGAATGGAAGAGAAGGTATTGCTGATGTGGCCATCCCTCCTGGGGGGTGATTTCTTGCTTTCTGTCTCTCTGTCTCTCTCTCTCTTTCTGGTGAGTGCACACACCCTATAGCAAAAACCTGTCACAAAAAAAAAAAAGGAGGGGGGGAAGCAGTGGTGAAGCGATAACGCAACTGGCTCCACATGGAAAGATCTAGCGTTCGCATTCCGGTACCTACCTGAGAACACTGGGCACACACAAGTGCATACTATCTGATGGCTGACACTGGAGGTGGATTGCTGTATGAAAATTCTGTTGGAAGAGCCTGTCTCTCTGTCTCTCACTCTCTTTCTCTTGGAAGAAATAAACTTTTTATAAAACTTTAAAATAAGGGGCATGGTGGCACCCACCCAATGGCAAAAATCAAAAATAAAACTACCATATAATCCAGCAATCTCACTTCTGGGTATAAAAGGAATATTCAGAAAGTTCACAGAAAATGCACAGTGTAAATGAAACTACATGTGGATTTCAAATTGGTTTTTGCATTGGTTATGTCATTTTATTCCATTTATTTTGCAAAATAAACTAGACACTTTAATTTCATTTTTCCATGAACATTTTGATGTCCTCTCACATATGCCAAGGGAATGAAATCAGCATCTTGAAAAGGCATTTGTGGGGCTCAGCAGTTCGCATGCTGGCTATGTCGCTGGACTCCCATGTAGTCGACTGTGGTTCGAGCCCTGGACCTGGTGGCTTAAACTCACACTGAGCATGTGTGCATATGTGCCCAAGACCCCAAGAGGAAAATGGAAGAGAAGGGATTGCGGCATGGCCATCCCCCTCTGAGGAGTGATTTCTCGCTTTCTGTCTCTGTCTCTGTCTTTCTAGTGAGTGCAAGCGCCTTATAACAAAAACCTCTCAAAACAAAACAAAACAAAACAAAAAGAAAGAAAAGAAAAGGTATTTGCACCTTCATATTTAGAGGCACATTAGTCACAATAGCCCAAATATAGAAACAGCCTAAGTGTTTATGAATGGATAAATGGATTAAAAAGATGTGGCATGCACACACATGCATACACTCAACTGTCTAGTAGGAAATGCTGTCATTTGTAACAACATGGCTGAACCTAGAGGACATTACATTAAGTGAAATAAGCCAGACACAGAAAAATAAAATCTACATGGTCCCACTGATGTGGGAAATCTCAAATGTCAAATTCATAAAAGCAGAAGATAGAACAATGGTTGCCAGGGCTGGGCGTGGAGGATAAATTGGGAGGTAATGGTCAAAGGGGACAGATTTGAACTAGAAGATGAATGAGGCTCTCATGAGTAGCCTGATGAGGATAGTCACTAAACCTGTATTGTGAGCTTCAAATGTGCTAAGAGAACAGATCCTAAGTGTTCTCACAATACACACACACTACAAAGGTAAATATGTGAGGTCATGCATGTGTTAATGAACTTGGTTACAGTCATCATTTCGTAAGATATACATATATCAAATGATTAATTATACATATTAAATATATATAACTTTGGTCAATTATACCTCAAGAAAACTGAAAAAATTTACAAAAAGAAAGCACTGAGATTCCATTAGTCACAGATCAAATACCAGACCAATTACTGTGGAGGACTCTTTGGGCATCAATTTTAACTTCTAAATGATATGTTACCCAAACTATAGTGTCTTTTTATTCATACAAAAAAAAAAAAGAAAGAAAGAAAGCCAATAACAAAATAAGCCACAGGTTAGGATAAATATTTGGGAAAGACTTATCCGATAAAAGACTATTATCCAAAATATACAAAATCTCTTAAAACTCAACAATACAAAAATTAAAAACCTGACTTAGAAAAAAAAATCACAGTATACACGTTATGAAAGAAAATATACAGGTGGCAAAAGAGCACATAAAAAGATGTACCACAACAAATGTCATAAGGAAAATAGAAATTAAGACAATAATCACATACGACCACATGCCTATTGCAATGACCAAAATACAGAACATTGACAATACTAAATTCTGACAAGGATTTGGTGGAAATGCAAAATGGTACAGCCACTTTGGAAGACAGCTTAGCAGTTTCTTATGCAACTAAACATACTCTTACCATACAATCCAGTAATCACACGCTTTGGTATTAACTCAAATGAACTGAAAAATTGTGTCTACATGAAAACCTGCATACAAATGGTTATAGCCATTTTACAGGTAATTGAAAAAATGTGGAAGCAAGCAGGATAGGTGAACAGATAAATAAATCTTAATACCTTCATTCAATGAAATAGTATCAGTACTAAATGGAAATGAGCAAGTTATTAAGCCATAAAAATGATACGGTAAAATCCAAGAGAATGTTACTAAGTGAAGTAAGCCCATGGGAAAAGGCTAGCTATTGCCTGATTCCAGCAATCCCACGGTCTAGAAAAGGTGAAACTATGGAGACAATGAAAGCCATCAGGAGTTTTCAGGAGTTACAAGGGAGCCAAAGATAAACAGGTTGACAGAGGGATTTTAGGCAGTGAAACTAATATGTATGATATTATAATAACAAATACAAAGTTATATATTTGTCGGACCCCACAGAGTGTACAACATTAAGAGTGAACCAACACTAATGGAAACTATGGACTTCGGTGTGTATGGATTGTAATGAACATTCTACTCCAGTGTGGGATGTTAACTGTGGGTGTGTGGGAGCAAAAATGTATGAGAACCCTCTGTATGCTTCATTTTATCTTGCTGTGAACCTAAGCCTACTTTAAAATACAGTCTATTAAAAATTCTTTTTGGGACTAGTAGTTAGTGTAATGGCTATGTTGCTGGACTCCCATGTAGTCGACTGCAGATCTAGTCCTGGACCTGGTAGTTTAAACTCACACCGGGAGCATGTGCATGCATGCCCAAAATCCTGAGAGGAGAATGGAGGAGAAGGGACTGCGGTGTGGCTATCCCCCCCCCCGGGGGGGGGTGATTTCTCGCTTTCTGTCTCTCTGTCTCTCTGTCTCTCTCTGTCTTCCTGGTGAGTACATGTGTCCTATAGCAAAAACCTCTTGAAAAAAAAAATTCTTTTTAAATACTTTACTTGTCTTCCTGCCTCAGAAACAGTAAAAATAACTTTTCTACATTAAAAACAGACGTTTAACTAAATTATTGTTTTAAATGCCAATGTTTTCTCCTATATGAAAGATTTTAAAATATAACACTAATGACTAAATTACCAATTATTTCGTGTATAAAACAAGTATAACCATGGGGGCCCTGGACAGTGGCACAGTGGTGGAAAGTGATGCTCTGATGTAGAAGAGTTATCAGTTTGCACTGAAGAACCATGCACTACTGATGGGAACATAAAGTGGTGCAGCCATTATGATGGTTCCTCAAAAATTAAAAATAAAATGACCATGTGAGCCATTGATTCCACTCTGGGTTTACACCCAAGAGAACTAAAGGAAGGAGTGCAAACAGATACCTGTATTCCCATGTAGCAGCATTGTCTATGTTGGTCAAAAAGTGGAAGCAACCCAGTGTGCATCCACGGATGAATAGATAAACAAAAATGTGGTGTACACATAAAATGGAGTCTCACTCAGTCTTTAAAAAGGAGGGAACACTTGTCACCTGCTACAACATGGATAAACCTTGAGAACATTATGCTAAGTAAAATAAGCTTAGTCATAAAAAAAAATACTGCATGATTTCACTTACATGAGGTACTTAGAATAGTTGAATTCATAGATACAAGTAAGTCTCACACTGCTTTATAGCCTTCTACTTAAAAATCCATCTCCTAGACTAGACTCAGAAACCTGAAGGGGAATCAATGCTTAGAACAAAAAGATCTGTGTATTATCCCAGTGGATAATACAAGCAAGTGGACCTAGGTTTCTTACTTGACTATTCACTGCAGTGAGTGGCTGTTTAAGACCACGGAACTGGACATATTCTCTTACTCAAATCATTTTGGAGGAGAAAACAGCTTTCCAAATTTGTTATGAGTAGAAAATAAATGGCTTCCTTTTACTTTATCTTCCTCCCTAACTTCCTTCTTCCCTTCCTGTTGTCTTCTCCCTGGGATGCACACTGGCATCAGGCTGCCCTCCAGTGTTTCTGTCACTCCATCAGCCACATAGCCATTACTTACTTAGAGCGCCTCTTACTACAATGCAACTGCATTCTTCTTTTTTTTTTTTAAGAGTTTTTTTTTTAATTTATTTCTATTTTATTTTTTTTCCTATAGGGCTCATGTGCTTGCTGGAGAGACAGAGAGAGACAGAAAGTGAGAAATCACCCCCAAAGGGGGTTGGCCGTGCCACAATCCCTTCTCCATTCTCCTCTCAGGATCTTGGGCATGCATGTGCATGTGCCCAGCCTAAGTTCAAAGTCACCAGGTCTGACTTGAACTGTGGTCAACTGCGTGAGAACCCAGCAGTGTAACCATTTCGCCATCTGCTGGTCCCACAGTTATATCCTTTCTTACAGTCTCATGTTTTCGAAATCTCATTTTCCTCTGCCAACCCAAATTATTCCTTTATACATTTTTGAAACAAGACCCACATTAAACTACTAAGCATTAATTAATGGTGAACCACTCACTTTATTGTCCTATAGATAACAAAAGGATTTGTTGAAAACTCAAAAGTGTCCTTGATTTTTGGACAGTTTGGAGTTTCCCTGTTGATACTTGATCAGTTGTCAGATAGGGGCAAGATCCATGGAAAAATAAGAAAGGAAGTCATTCATTATGGCCCTATATTCAGGCATAGAAAATGTTAAGGAAAACTGTCACAGGGAATATCTCACATCCATACTAATCAGTATCTTGTTTATATTATTAACTTTTTCACAAGGTCTTTACTGTTAATTTCCAAAGCACAAAGCTGATCCCATTCCCAGCTTGGATCTCCACCTTGCAAAGAGGATTCTATATCAACTACTTCACTTGTCATTTAAACTTGTTCATGTCTAGGCCCCCATCTTTCCCTCCAACCTTCCCCTCTGTGATCCTTGTTCACACCTAACGCCCAGTAAAAGAGCTCCTCACTTCCCTGCAAAGCATAGGTTGTTTTCTTAACCTTGTTTCTTCTACCTCATACCTCTAACCCTGATTTCACAATGTTTACACTACTGACATTTTGTATGGGTCTGTTCTTTTTGTGGGGGCTGACATATGAATTAGAGGATGCATACAGCATCCTCAGTCTCTACACACTAGATGCCAGTAACATCTCTCTTCTTTCCATTGTGACAACCTAAAATGTTGGCAGATACTAACAAATGTCCCTTTGGGGGAAAACTGGTCCCTGTTAAGAACCACTGCTCTAAAACTAGGCAGATGCTTGGCTTTTCAGGTATGCATAGTGTAACTTCTCTATTGAATATGCAGTGCTGGCCGTTACTTACTTAGAGCGCCACTTACTATAATGCAACTGCACTACATGAGTGATGTCCTCCCTCTACTGCATTGCCACCTCCTGGTACCAGCTGCAGGTCTTCTTATTCATGTTTGAACTCATGGATGAGAACCAAGCACACTGCCTAACAACATACGGACTCAACCCATGTGTGCTGAACATACATTAAAGAAATACCAGGAACATACAATTAATATAATATAAATTAATGTATATTTTATATATTATATATATATTATATATTAATATATCCACATTATATATCAATATTATACCTTGTATATTAATACAATATATAAACATACATTATAATTTATGGTGTAATTAATATAAATTAATTTATATTGATATATATTGTGTGTATATCTATATATGTACTATATATATATTCTAACATACATGCTAGGATTCCACATTTCTTAAACTTGTATACTATTGCTAGACAACTACTCTATCCAGAAAACAGTATGCTTCAACATTAAAAAAGAGTAGTAAGACATCTGAAGCTCTTTAGGAGTCTGAGTTTAAAGTATAATTAAAAATAAATGTGAAAGCCATCTTTTTCAAAATGAAACTGTTCTAATAATATCCATTTCTTCTTTCAAGGATGTTCATGAACATTGAGCTGAGCTGGTCTACTAACTGTTCTTGGCAGTCCTCTAAGAGAACTGTCTAGAGATAGGAGATGTTAATTAATTACACTATAAAATAGAATTACAATTAATTGTTAATTTAAGTTTTAAAGTGACAAACCTTAAAGGCTAAAAATAGTCTTTGATCTTTAAAAGGCTTCTTAATGAGGGCAGTATACTTTAAGTACATCATTAGTTTAAATGTTCAAATTGGGTCTAGAGACTACTAGAGTTAAGCAAATATCTATTCCAATATGTTAAATGTTTATGACTTGGGACAGGGACAATTAACCGCTAATCAACTCCACATTATATAGCAATATTATACCTTGTATATTAATACAATATATAAACATACATTATAATTTATGATGTAATTAATATAAATTAATTTATATTGATATATATTGTGTGTATATCTATATATGTACTATATATATATTCTAACATACATGCTAGGATTCCACATTTCTTAAACTTGTATACTATTGCTAGACAACTACTCTATCCAGAAAACAGTGTGCTTCAACATTAAAAAAGAGTAGTAAGACATCTGAAGCTCTTTAGGAGTCTGAGTTTAAAGTATAATTAAAAATAAATGTGAAAGCCATCTTTTTCAAAATGAAACTGTTCTAATAATATCCATTTCTTCTTTCAAGGATGTTCATGAACATTGAGCTGAGCTGGTCTACTAACTGTTCTTGGCAGTCCTCTAAGAGAACTGTCTAGAGATAGGAGATGTTAATTAATTACACTATAAAATAGAATTACAATTAATTGTTAATTTAAGTTTTAAAGTGACAAACCTTAAAGGCTAAAAATAGTCTTTGATCTTTAAAAGGCTTCTTAATGAGGGCAGTATACTTTAAGTACATCATTAGTTTAAATGTTCAAATTGGGTCTAGAGACTACTAGAGTTAAGCAAATATCTATTCCAATATGTTAAATGTTTATGACTTGGGACAGGGACAATTAACCGCTAATCAATGGGCCAAATGCTAGGTGAGGTCAGGTTCTGAAATAGGAGGACGACAATAGTAAATTGGATTTAGAGCATTTTGATGTGATCTGTAAAATCACAGGCAAGCAGAGACTAAAAGAATAGCAAGAAGGCAAACCAGCGAAAACACCCAGATAATTAAGATATTACTCACTTTGTTAATAGTGCTTTTCAAGGGTGCCCTTTGTTTAGATTAATGAGCTATAATTTTTAGAATTATACTTATATGTCTGTAGTTCAGTTACTTAAACATATAATTCAGGATATAAAATAGTAAAACTCAGCATAGCTTTAAAGGTGATCACACTTAGCTGGAAGCTAAGATTAGCAATATTCATATCATTTTTTTTAGAGGTTTTTGCTATAGGGGGTGCATGCACTCGCCAGAAACACAGAGAAAGACAGAGAGCGAGAAATCACCACCCCCCCCCCCCCCAAAAAAGAAGAGATGGCCACGCAGCAATCCTTTCTCCTCCATTCTCCTCTCGGGATCTTGGGCACACACGCACACACACCCAGCATGAGTTTAAGCCACCGGGTCTGGGACTCAAATAGCGGTCGACTACATTGGAGTCCAGCGACACAGTGATTACTCCAACTGCTGGTTCCCATAGTATAATTTTTTAATATGAACTTGATTATCATATCATACTTCATTTTTACAAACTCAAAGTAAACCAATTTATTACTATAATAAGTCTCTTTTATCAATCATACAAATCTTCCACTGTCATTGCAGATAGAAGAAGCAAATGGTGCCAGCAGATAGTGTAGCAGTTACATCGCTGGACTCTCACATGGCCAACAGTGGTTCAAATCCAAGAACCAGTGACTAGAAAATCATGCTGGGTGAGTATGAGTATGTGCTCAAGATCCCAGGAGGAGAAGGGATTGTGGTGTGGCCTTCCTCCCTAGGGATAATTTCTCACTCCACCTCTCACTGTCTCTGTCTCTGTCTCCCTCTCTCCTGCAAGCACAAGCATGTTACAGGCAAAAACCTCTAAAAAAAACTAATTATTGGGAACCAGCAGTTAGCGTAATGACTATGTCGCTGGACTCTCACATAGTCTACCGCAGTTCATGTCCCGGACCCGATGGCTTAAACTCATGCCGGGTGCGTGTGCGTGCGTGCCCAAGATCCCGAGAGGAGAATGGAGGAGAAGGGATTGCGGCGTGACCATCCCCCCTGGGGGGTGATTTCTCACTTTCTGTCTCTCTGTCTCTCTCTGTCTGTCTGGCGACCACATGCGCCCTATAGCGAAAAACCTCTCAAAAAAAAAAAAAAAACTAATTTTTTTTTTTTTTAAAAGAAGCAAGTCATGGTTATTTTGTGAGTTCTGTTTGAATATCAGTAGTTTCACTAACCTTTAATTCAGATGAGAGATTCCAGAGACAGAGCTGACCCTCTTGACTTCCAGTCACAATGGTTTGCTGGTCATCTGTGATCATGATGGCAGTGATACTGTGAGGAGGGGCCTTCTTACCCCAGAGTGCCACGGCCTGCAGGGAAGTCTTCATGTTGTGTAAATCCTGGATGGACATACAGAATAGAAAGAACTGTACAGGGTCATCTTTCTTAAATTTGGGGGAACTGAACATATTTCAATGTGGATTTTAATGATATGTTCTCTTAGGGCTATGAAAAAGGGTATTTCTCTATCAATTAGAGACCAGGGTAGTAATCAGATATTGAAATTACCATGCTCACTGCTAACCCATCAAAGATAATGACTTTAATTCCAAATCTTGATTGATGCTGATGAACAGACGGATAGCAAGGATGTGCCAACTCTATACCTACCTCTTCATATGGCTTGATCCCAACCTACTCCGAAGCCCAGTTAGGACTCTCAGGAAGAACAGAGCTCTCTACACAGTATAATTTGAAGGTAGCTTCCCAGACTCTCTCCTCAAAAATGTCATCTCATCTAGAAATTTCTGAAATTTGATATTAAAAATAATCTTTTCCACAAAAAGTGTTGCCCAGTCTGAAAATTATGTATGACTATCATAATTTCTGTCATGTTCATCCTATACTATATGTACTAATAATTTACCTGACCCGATTTTGTATTTGGCATTTTACAAAGAACTAATATTTATGATATCACTACCTTCATGTAGTGATATAAATAATAAGGCTAAAATAATACATAATTATGTATTATTGTCTGTATATCCCCAAAATATTGCCCAAGGATGTGTGCATTACATTTTAAGAAATGCTGAGTTAATATGCTCCCCAAATAGGCCTTCTTTTTTGAAATATGAGTCATTTTGAGATACAATTTAGCATTATATATTTAATCTCAATAAAAATGGTGAAGGAAGAAAGGAAGAAGGTATCAAGTATATTTCCCATATTTGCCTTGAGAAAGCCAAGAAAATAAAAACTTTCTGTTCCACAAAATTTCTGTATTAGTGCGTCAAAAAAGCAAATACTCGGGCCAAGTCATGATACAGTGGTAACACAGCCAGATCCACATGGAAAAGGTGCTGGGTTCATGTCCTGGGCCTTCTCTGAATTCAATGGGCATGCGTGTGCATGCCCATAATCCAGGCTGGCTGAGGCTGGGGATGAATTGTGATGTGAGGATGCTGGTGGGGATACCTCTTTCTTTCTTTCTTTCTTTCTTTCTTTCTTTCTTTCTTTCTTTCTTTCTTTCTTTCTTTCTTTCTTCCTTCCTTCCTTCCTTCCTTCCTTCCTTCCTTCCTTCCTTCCTTCCTTTCTTTTTTTTTTTCAGAGTTTTTTTCTTTAGGGTGTGTGCTCACCAGAGAGACAGAGAGAGATAGGGTGTGTGCTCACCAGAGAGACAGAGAGAGAAAGCAAAAAATCACCCCCAGGTGGGATGGCCACGCCACAATCCCTTCTCCTTCATTCTCCTCTCAGGATCTTGGGCATGCACGCACATGCTCCCAGCATGAGTTTAAGCCACCGGATCTGGGACTCAAACCGTGGTCGACTACATGGGTGTCCAGTGACATAGCCATTACGCCAACTGCTGGTTCCTCTTTCTCTTTCTTATGAATAAAATCTATTAATATTTTTAAAGGATAAATAGAAATTTAAGTTATAAAAACATATGGCATGCTATTTATAGTGCTCAATTATATATATTTGCACATACATGACAAATATATAAATACAGGTGTGTACTGACACTATGAACACAAATTCAACACAAGCAATGTTTAATTTCAGACTGATTGCATTCAAAATACTACTACAGCCCCATAGTTTGGAATTCAGCACCTAGTTCTCTATGGTATACTTCTTGGGTCAGTACAAGTCTACCTGGTCTGTAATACACCTGAATTATTCTAATTGTCATACCCAAGCACCATGAAATTACTTCTATAGGAAATGCTCTGATCATTGTAATTCTTTTTGTTTTGTTTTGTATTTTTTGGGGGAGAGGTTTTTGCTATAGGGCACGTGCAGTTGCCAGACAGAGAGATAGAAGTGAAAGATCATCCCCCAGGGGGGATGGCCATGCTGCAATCCCTTCTCCTCCATTCTGCTCTTGGGATCTTGGGTACACACGCACACACGCCCGGCGTGAGTTTTAAGCCACTGGGTGAACCGCGGTCGACTACATCGGAGTCCAGCGACATAGCCATTACGCAAACTGCTGGTCCCATCATTGTAATTCTTAATACCAGGATTACACTTCTGATCATATTACTAAACTAATTAGAGAGTTCTGGTTTCAATAACTCTGTAGCCCAAACTTGGACCTCTTCTCTCTTCTGTCTCAAACATAGATACAGCTATCTATCTAACTGTCTATTTTTAATTGTTGTTTCCATGACCAAGGCTGCAAATAAATGTGGAAAATCTCAAAGAGGAAAAAACAGAAAGAAACCTGAAAACCAGTACAATCACCACAGGAACTGAGTCAATAAGACTTTTTTTTGGCTAGGAGTTGGAGTGTTAATCCCTACATAAGGACGGGAAGCAAAGACCTCCCATGGTAACCTTGTTCATTGAAAGTGGAAACAAAAACTCCACCACTAACACATGAAGGTAAGGAAATTTATTTCCAAATCTCTAAAGAAAAATGTGACAAGCATGAATAATAAAGGTGTTTGGAATTTGAAAAATATATATATATATACATATATAAATTTATATTATATATATTATACATGTCTATATAATCACATATACTTTATATATAATATATATTATATGACTATATATTATGCATATATAATTCCAGTATCTCTATATAAAGAAAGCCATGTAAAAATTGTACTCACATCAATAATGCTACTGGGAGGCCTTGTCAAAACACTACAGATCTATTAGAAAATCTAAAATTTAAACAAAGAGAGACAATGCCAAGTGTTAAGAAGAATGTAGAGCAATTGGAACTCATAGATTGATGGTGGTAATATACAATGGAAAACAGTTCAGCAATTTCTTTTTTTTTTTTTTTGGTAGAGGTTTTTGCCTTAGGGTATGTGCACACACCAGAGACAGAGACAGTGAGAGCAAAAGTGAGAAATCACCCCACCTCCAGGGGGATGGCCACACCACAATCCCTTCTCTTCCACTGTCCTCCAGGGATCTTGGCACACATGTACATGCACCTGGTGTGAGTTTCAAGCCACTGGGTCTAGGACTCAAAGTGCAGTCGACCATGAGGGAGTCCAGTGACATAACCCTAGGCAATCTGTTTGGCCCTGGTGATTCTTAAAAAGCCAAAAATACACCTCCTACAAGACCCAGTCAATCCATTCCTAGGTCCAACCCAAGCGAAATAAGAAGCAAAAAGCATATGTTTATACAAAGATTTTATCTGTAATAGCCCAAAACTGGCAAAAAGCCACATATCTATTAACAGGTGAATAGAAAAACAAATTATGGTACATCCACACAATGGAATACTATTCCACGATTTTAAAAAATGACCAACTATTATTTCTAAAAGGAAAATAACTTTTTTGGAGAGGTTTTTGCTATAGGGTGCATGTGCTTGCCAGAAAGACAGAGAGAGACAGAGAGAGAGAAAGCAAGTAATCACCCCCCAGGGGGAATGGCCACACCACAATCCCTTCTCTTCCATTCTCCTCTCAGGATCTTGGACATGCATGCACATGCACCCAGCATGAGTTTAAGCCACTGGGTCCAGGACTCAAGCCACAGTCGACTACATGGGAGTCCAACGACATAGCCATTACACCAACTGCTGGTCGCAAGGAAAATAATTTTAAGTTAAAAAGTAATTAAAAGGAATAATACTGTATGATTCCCTCTGTATGAAATTCTATTAAATTCATTAATTTACAGTAACAAAAAGCAGGTCAGGACAGAAAGAAAGGACAGGAAGAGTGAGATTACAAAGGAGAATGAGGAAATTTTTGAGGATGGTAAATTGGTCTATTATTTTAATTGTGAATATAGTTTCATGAGTGTATTCATATGTCAAAACTTAGCAAATTTTAGACTTTAAATGCATATATGTATATATACAAGTATTCTGCATGTCAATTATACTTTGATAAAGTTATTTTTCTGTAAACCTTTTGAAAGACATTAACTACAACCCAGACTGAACAAGATTCTATAGAAACAACTCCAGTGGCAAATAAGCACACAATCAAAAATTACAGAACATTCAATAATGTTTTAAATGTAGTAACTCATGAGCAAAGAGAGGAAACTAATGATAAAAATATCTAAAACTTACTTCAAAAAAAGGACAAATATATTAAATTATTATAAATTATTAGAGAAACAAAGGAAGAAATTTTAAGCTCAAGAAAAAAGATAGCCTAAGAAAAGTAAACAGGTAGACTTTCAATGTACTAATTATAGAAATAAAATTAATTCTAAAAAATCAATCTTGGACTGGCAGGTGGCGTAGTGGTTAAGGATGCTGGACTCCCACATGGCCAACCATGGTCCAAGTCCTGGACCTGGAGGCTTGCTCTCTCACTTTCCCTCTCTCTCCTTCTCTCTCACTCTGTCCCTCTCTGGTCAAATTTTAAAAAATGAAATAAATGAATGAATAAATAGAAAATAAAATAATTATTTTAAAAAATAAGATAAATAAATCTTAATAGGACAAATAAGACTAGATTCAAGTGAAGAGAGAATAATTGATTTAGAGATAATTCTCAGGAAATTATGCAGAGAAAACTCCAAAAAATATAAAACTCTTTCCTTTCCTGGCTAATTCTGTCCTAAAACCATCAGGTAGAACAAAGCACAAGCAAAGTGTTGAAGTTCAAACAGTGTGAGGCACCATGTGGAGTCAGAACCCAGAAAGGGCAAGTGGGTACCAAAGTATGGGGGAGTCTGGGTGAGTTGCAGAGCCCCAGCAGGGTGAAAAGAAGAATGTTTACAGGATTGTCTGGTACTAGGTGATGCAGCCAAGTGAGCAAGGTTATGAGTAAAGTTGAGGCAACAAAATCACTCAAGAGGGGTGTCATGAGCCTAAGAGGGCCAAGGATGACAAAAGAAGTGGGGTGTCAGAGGCTGTGCAGGTTGAGAAAGGAGATCCAATATAGAATGC